AGAAAGGAAAGTCCTGTTGTACTACCATTATCTTGGGGTATGGTCAGTCTATGGTTTAAGACTTAAGTGAGACCAGGACTATACTGTATGTCTTTAATGTAGCCTATTCTGTTTCTTTAATACATGTAATACATGTAATTACATAATTATGTTTATGTAATATTACTTAATAATTGGAAACTGAACTGTATGCATAAAACCAGATCTACAATGCTCTAGTTTTCTCCATCAGGATTTTAATGCAATCAGAGTACCAAACAGTGAGCTCTACAAGTTTTTAAACTACTAAACAATAATAAAACTATAGGCTGAAAAATCTGCACAGTAAAATGTGATTGTCATTGAGCAGAGCAAATGGAGTTATCTGTGTTTAGGAATGACACAGTATATCTATTAAAACCATGAACATTTAAAACCTGGCACCAAAGTTAAGTTTCCATACACAATTCATTGTTAAATCCATCTCACTCTATCCCAGAGCTTTGAAGAGTAGGGGAAGTTATGTAACAGAGGTGTTAGATGGCTAAAGCTAGGGGCATCCATCACTGGGAATGCTGCCACATTCTGGACTGATTGTGGTTTCTAGATGGTCTTTAAGAGCAGCCTCAAGTTATGTAGAACACATTGCAGTAAGTCAAAAATGAAATGACCAAGGCATGAGTGACCATGAACAAGGCCTCCCAGTCCAGGAAGGGTGCAATTGGCACATTATAGAAATCTATGCAAAGATCCCCCAGCCATGGATGCCACCTTCTTCTTAGGGCAGTGGTTCTCAACCTTTTTAATGCCGCGACCCCAACCGGTCGTAAGTCAAGGACTAAACCGGTCGTAAGTCGAGGACTAAACCGGTCGTAAGTCGAGGACTACCCAACCGGTCATAAGTCAAGGACTTTCCCTGCCCGGGAGCGCTGCGCATGCATGGTTCCGCCCCCTGCGCCGGCTGAGGCGTAGCTGGCAAGCGGCAGAGACGGAGCAGGCCGACCACCAGCTGGCCCAGCCCAAGGGAGGTAAGGCACCCGCCGGAAAAGGGGAAAAAAATGGCGGACAAAAAAAATGGCGGACAAAAAAAATGGCAGACAGCCTTGCTTGGCGACCCCCATGAAATGGTCGATCGACCCCAAATGGGGTCCCAACCCACAGGTTGAGAACCACTGTCTTAGGGAGTCCAGAAGGATTCCCAAACGGTGCACCAATTCAGTCCAGGGAGCGCCACACAGTGCAGAGTCAGAGATGAAATATCATCTTGGCTGGGTTGGGGAGTAAGCAAAAACCCAGAACCTCTCTGGCTTTCCAGGATTGATCCATAGCCAGTTCCATCCCATCTGGACCCTTACAACAGAGGACCCCAACCGTTTGGGCACCAGGGACCGGTTACGTGGAGAGAGGTTTTTCCATGGACTGGAGGGGGCATGGTTTTCCGTGCTGCCTGCATCCCGCGGATGGGGTTTTGCTTGTTTGTGCGGGCCGGTTGCTGGCATGCCGCGGCCCGGTCCTGGTCCATGGACTGGGGGGTTGGGGACCCCTGCCTTACAGCATCCAGGCCATTGGCCAGCACCACCACAGCATCACCAGTTATGTAACTGTGTATCATCAGCATACTGATGATACTGCACTGCATACAAACAGGCAATCTCCCTCATATAAATATTTAAAAAGAAAGGGAAAGGTTCTATCCCTGAGTGCCCTGTATTGCAGGAGCCGAGGGTTTAGCATCTGCTTCCCCCACTAACCCTGACTAGAATCGGCTGCAGAGGAAGGAAGAAATCTTTCATAATACAGTGCCTCCCACTCCCAACTTCCAAAGCTGGTCCTGAAGCATAACATGGTTGATGATATCAAAAGCCATTGAGAGGTCCAGGAGGACCAGAATGGTTGCCCCATCCCCATCCTGAGCTCTCCAAAGGTCATTGGCAAGTTCAACTAATGCCCCAGACTGAACCCAGACTGAAAAGGGTCCAGGTAATTCACTTCATCTTGGGCTCTTTGTGCACCAACCACCCAGTATGAGTAATTTATTCCTCTACTGAACTGCTCTTTCTATATTCCTCTCATATTTAGTTAGTACCCATTAAGTCCAGTAGTAGTATAACTCTCAGTAAACATATTGGGGAATACAAATGATAGGATGACTTCCTTTCCTATTTATGGCTTCCTACAAACCTGTTTATTGACCACCAAGAGAAAGAAATATATAGAATACAGTCTAGCAAGGCTTTCCTTAATTATTTTTAAGCCCAACCAAAGCACTCCTTTGTTCTAGGTTGAGAAAGTATTTATAAACCCAGCATGTTTTCAAAGAAGGAAAAGTGTTTCATATTGATCATGACTGTTGATGTGAAGTGCAAAACTGAGAAGGTAGCTAAACTTAATTGGTCTTCTGCACTGGTGCATAGGGAGGAGCATGGATGGCAATGTCCAGCCTGCCTGTGTGACATCCTCTACCACATGACCTCTTTCAGCCCTCATCATATTGCTAATTTCAGCAGTTTATTAAAGTTTGGTTTGTTTGTTTTTTTTGTTTAAGGCAGATATCTTTCTAATATTCAGGAGCATATTGTAAAGCAGCTAATGGCTTCATCCAATTATTTTTCAAACTATTGCACCATTGCACTCATTTCACATGCTAGTAAAGTTATGCTTAAAATCTTACAAGCTAGACTCCAGCAGTATGTGGATCGAGAACTA